AAACAGAAGCCCAAGGAAAAAAAAAAAAGCAAAAGTAAAATAAAATGAATAGCTAGCGATCACTGGCGTCTAATAAGAGTAGCGAAGTATTCCACATTCACTTCCCTCCCCTTTCTTTTTTTTCCCCCTCACCTCACCTCACCACTATGATGATTATTATTATTACTATTACTATTTATTTCTCTCCATCTATCTTCATCATATCTCCTATGCCCGTCCTTCTATCAGAATCACACTGCAGTTATCCATCCCAATACCCTCTTCATTATCACTCGGGGCCACACACTGTGCAAAGATACCCGCTGCCGATGCCAACAACAATGCATCTACAGAAGCCGCCTCTCCTCCTCCTCCTCCTTCTCCTCCTTTCATTGTTGTTGTTGTTGTTTGTGTATGCCGCAGCGCTGTTGCCATCTCTCGTGCCCGCACCACCGCATCCATTGCCGATCCCGCCACGTCAATATCATTCTGCGCATTCACAATCGCATGATGGACCTGGTGCAGCGTCGCACTGTCCCACACCCCATCGCAGGCGAGAATAACACCCCAGCGAGTGGCCTCCGCGGCTGTTGGGACGGGAGTGATGGTCACATCCGGCAGCGCGACGACCGCCTGCTCCCTCGCCCCCCGCCCGCCGCATTGTTTGAAGTCGTAATCCCCCAACGCGCGGGGAACTGCCAGTCGGCCTTCAATGCGGCCGCCACTCAAATGATATCCCGCCGCGTGAATTCGGGCCGTCTCCACTTCGTCCGCCACTCGATGCGTGGTGCTGATGCGGCGAATGCCACACGGTGTGTACACCGCCGCCCCGCTATCGCCAACATTCGCGCAGAGAATAAAGTTTGCCGTGATGCCCACCACACACGCCGTGCAGCCAGTGCTGTGATAATCCCCACGTAGTCCTTCTACACTATGCCGCAGGGCATCATCTAAAGAGAGAAGGGCATCTTCCATAATGCTGGCAAAGTAGGCACGTAACATCTCCATTTCTTGTCGAGATACAAGTGGGGAACCGGTACTGCAAACACCAGTTGTACCAGGCGTCAACATAGGACTACCACAACAACCAACACGAGTATCTTTCACACCTCCACCACCACCAACAGCAGCAGCAGCAGCAGCAGGATTAGTAGGATTAGTAGGATTAGTAGTAGTATTAACAACACCACGAGGTTCAACAACGCCGTCTTTTGTAGTAGTTTCAGCCGTAGGTGAGAATGAGGGAGAGGTGGAGTGTCTTTTTCTGGTGTTTTCAATATGCCGTTGTACTGCCTGAGCCGTGAGAACACGATCCGCTACATTAATCTCAACCACATGATTATTATTATTATTATTATTGTTATTGTTTACTTCCATACTGTTGGGTGGACGATGGCAGACGCTATCCCGCGTCCCTGTGGGGGATCTTTCCCCAAGAGAAAACACCTGCGATGATGACTCCATCTCTAAATGAAGTAAAAGTGAACGTGCCTGTTCATCATCGTGACGTCCAGAGGCCACGGCTTTGCGTAGATGCGATTCGAATTGACTTGCCGCAAGTTTAGCCACCGCATCCCCACCATGACCATCAAATACACAAAACACAGCCATTGCAATTGTCTCTGGTGATTCATCCTCTTCCATCTCTTCAGCTTTTGTTTCTGAGGTTGATGTAAATGCAGGGATATCAATCACAAAAGCGGCCTCAGCGTCTTCTTGTGTTGTTCGCCAGCCTTGCACTTTGGCTCCAAGTGAAACCAGTTTAGGTACCGCCTCTCTTACACAAAGTACATCATGATCATTCAATAGACTCGCAACATCCCGTTGAAATGGTCGTCGCCGTGGGGATCCGCTGCATCTACCAGTGTGACTGTTTTGATCCACAATATTAATATTCTTCCTGTTGTTGTTATTATTACTATTGGTATTATTATTATTATTATTATTATTATTATTATTATTATTATTATTATTATTATTATTATTACTATTGGCATTCGTACGAAAACTGGTACTATTCGGTAGAGCCATACCACGTCCTTGTCCTTCATCTAGAGGTAACAAGACAGGAGAAGCTGCCACTGATGGTGATAGGGAAACAATCATATTTGGACTTGCAGTAACACTAAGCCATCCCGGTTCTCGTCCTGGAGATAAATTGATACTAGAGTATTGAGCCAGTTGTTGTGGTTTTTTTAATAGTACATTATACCCAACACAAGAGATATCTCGAACAGCCTCATCAAGATAGGTTCCACGAGTATAGGCAAGATGATCTACTAGGGCATCATATGCCTCTGTATACTTCCATGTAAATCCATTACACTTTTCACACCAAAATATACGATCAAAACTTGTCATAATATCAAGTTGATTAAGAAATAAAGTACATTCTTCTTCACATTCTCGGTAGTGTTTGGTAACATGTGAAGGACAGGTAGATTTGAGACAGTGTAGACAAAGAAATGCAGCAGGACGACGATTACAATAAACACAATGATGATATAATTTATGCGCATGATGTTTAGTGTAATCAAACCCACGTAAATGTCTTGTGATAAAATCTCTACTACATGCACAACGTGAAGCGTCTCTTTCTTCATCCCCTGTTTGGGATTTAGCATTCATATAATTATCTCCATCCTGTGCAGGTTGATTGATGTACTTTCCAACCTCTTCATTACCTGAAATGATTACAACTTCATTATCAGCATCAAAAATAAGTCGTGCGGCAACCTTGCAATCCACCTGTGGATCCTCATCTGCCGGATCGGTTGTATATATGGGTGAAACACTTCCAAATACAAACGCATCATTCTCAACATCAACATCATCATCAATATCATTATTATCATCATCGACATCATTATTATTATTATTATATCTACTAGTTCTCTTACTACTTCTTCTGTTCCTCTTCTTCTTACTACTACCATCACCTTTTGTTGACTTTACAACATCCTTCAGTGAAGAACTACACATACATGCCTCCTCATTACTATTAACAGCCCTTTTAGTTTTGTTTCGATTGGATCTACTAGCTGCTCGAATACGAATCAGTGAACTCTCAAATGGCGTCCTACCATCCTGCAGTAACTCATAACGTGGGATAAACACATGTTCTTCTGTCTCTATTAATCCAACCTTATTAGGTGATCCTTCAAAGGTGTCATTACAGTCCATTTCTAAAAGATCATCCGTTATACTATCCCCACGCACCTCACGAATGGTGTCCTCATCCATCATTGTCTGACTTGGAAACCCTGTAAGGCTGGTGTAATGCTGTGATTTTTGCTTTTTTATCATAGAGAAGTAAAGACTTGAAAAACTACTCTTGCGTCTATTATCACGAGTGGCTGCTAAAGCAGAAGTGGTTTCGGGTGATTGTGTGCGGGGCACTGATCTCTCCATACGTGAGTTGGATGTTACCGACATGGAATGACATTGACCACTTTCCTGTTGATGCATTAATTGCATAAAGTTATCTACTGCCGTGGAGGTAGATGTACTTACTTCCCCTGAGTATGGAATTGGTGAAAAGAGGTTTGTTCCTACAGTTGTTGTTGGTGATAATAATGGTCCTGCTGCGGTTGGACGTTTTAACATCTTATCACGTTCACGTCGATCATAACTGTTATAAAATCCAGTTTGAGTTGAAGTTGTACTCATCAAAAATGCAGAGTTTTGTTGTGGAACATTCATTGAGATATCATTATTATCTTGTCCCAGTTTTGTAATGTTGGTATTATGATCACCTTGGTAGAAGGAGGAAGTGACATTTAATAGGGTTGTAGGTGATACCAGAGGTGTATAACTCTCTTGTTTTTTTGGTTTCTTCTCTTTCTTCTGTTTCTTTGCATTTCCACTTTCTCGTCTAGGTGATGGGATTCGGTTAGATGAACTGACATCATCCATACATTTATCACTTTTGCTGGTTCTATTTGTATACTCTTTCGGGGCCACATCTCTTGGATTCACAGACTGAGAAGAGGCGAGAGGTGAGAGACGTCGATTTGAGTTCGTCGGTGGTAACAGAGAATTCGTAGACTTTAATCGTTCATTCCCTTCACGAAATTGTGATAATGTTGATGTTGTGGTTGTGGTTGTGGTTGTTGTTTTTCTTGGTGACTCATCCTTTTGTCTCGTCCTAGTATTATTACTATTATTACTATTATTCTTCTTATTATTATTCTGTTTCTTATTTTCCGTTCGATTGTCAAGTTCTTTATTTTTGTTGTTTTTCTGTTGATTGGGTATTTCAACATTTGTCCGTAAGGTATTCATAGTGGGTTCTGATTTACATCGAAGTACATTATCGCCCTGACGCTCTCTTGTAGCGCCTGTTACTAATTTATTTGTATCTTTCGTATTCACATGCACATTCCCTTGTAAAGATTTCTCTTTCCGTAATGCTCTCGGTGAGTTCTGTCGTGGACTAAAACTATAACTGTCATCTTTATTCTTTTTCTTCTTCTTCTTTAGATCGGGAACTTCTTTTAGTGGTGTAATCGTCCCACTACTCTCCACACGAGATGGGGGCCATGTACTAGAAAAGGAAGAAGCCGCACCCTCAAGTGTGGTGCTACTAAGAACCAACTCCCCCTGTTGTTTTTCCGGTGGGTGTGGTTGTAATTGTAATTGTAATTGTAATTGTTGTGATTGTTGTGATTGTTGTGATTGTCTTTCTGGTCTTTTTTCTTGTGGTGGTTCCGGTTGTATTCTCATATCTGTACACTGCGATGATGCTGGAGATATAGATAGTCTCCCCTGTTGCCAAAGTGGTCCAACATGATGGGGTGGCGAAACAACAACTCCATACCGTTGACGTTCTTTAAACGAAAGTTTCGTCATTGTTGTTGTACTCTGTGGAGACTTCACACTGGGCGATCGTGGGGCAAAGACATCATCTTTGGTACTAAAACTATTACATCGACTATTACTCCTCGCCGTAAAACTAATAACACCCAATGGACGTTGATACTGTAGGGATAAACCGGGTTTTGTTTGATTACCGGGTATGGGTCTCGCACTCTGTTCTTTACATACATCGTGACGTTTCTCCTCAGAGAGTCGTTGTCTCTCTTTAAATGAAAGTGTTGGTTTCTTTTGCGAGATTTGCGTTTCCAGTGGAGATGATGATGATGATGGTTCACATAATAATAATGGTGATGATGATAATGGTTGTTGTTGTTGTTGTTGTTGATTTTGTAGTTTTGACTCCTTCTTCTCCTCTTCTTCTTCTTCCTCCCCTCCTCCTTGTTGTTGTTGTTGTTGTTGTTGTTGTTGCTGTTGTGGACCTCCACGCTCTAGTTCAGTTGATAGGGGGATAGCGAGGGATCGAATGGGTGTAGTGGAGCTACTGAGAAAACGGCCGGATGTCTTTCGAGAAAAAACAGTTGGGGTTAAAAACTGCGGGGGCATTTGTGGAAGTGTGATGTTCTCATGCGTGTTGTTTTTCTGCGAGGGCGCCGGTGATGCGAATGCGGAGGAGGAGGAGGAGGTCTTTTGATGTACATAGCGATCAGGGGTGTAGATGACTTCCTCCATATGGAGAAGAGGATTATTATTATTATTATTATTATTATTATTATTATTATTATTATTATTATTATTATTATTATTATTATTATTGTTGTTATTATTATTATTATTGGTGATGCCTTTACTATTATTGATATTAGTATTAGAATTACTACTACTGCCAGGGATATTCATCGTTTATGTTAAAGGACACACCCT